ATTCCTCCCGAGACATGCCAGTCAATTTGACCATACAATTGACAAGGAGAGAAAGTTTATCAGTAATTTAAGGTGGAACGCGCCGGTTTGTGCCCAGACAGTTCCAAGTGTGCCGCTTCGGGAGCAGCCATACGGGAAAAGCGTCTGAATAGCCGATCCACACAGAAATCGGTTGTTACGGACTGTAAAGCTCATGGGTAGCGATTAATTTCATATTGACATGTACAGTACTAGTAGATGTAAATAAGATCATCAGCTAGATAGATATTGTCAGTGTAAAGCATTAAGCCGATGAATCTAATCAGGAAAAATATAGCACACGAACGAATCGACTATCTGATACGAACGGATCTACAAACACTCTGAATCTAATCCGTTACCACCAACAATGAGGTTCGACCAGATCGATGACAGCTATGATGATAGTGACAAAGTAAAACCGAAGAATCCACAAAAACATCCGTAATTCGACATGCTTTCCGAAAGACATCCTATACGTGAAGGCTCGAATGAATCGGCTAAAATAGCTGATTCAGGTGAAGAGAACTACAACGTGTGAACAATCGACTATTTCACATGAACAAGCCTATGGACTCCTTAGACTCGACCTGCTATCTCTAACAGTGGGGTTCGATCGGATCGATGCAGCCGTGAAAAAGACAACGAATCAAACCTTTAAAGTACACAGATCTATTCACGCTTAACAGAATCATGTAAACATGTTGTAGGCGTTAACGCACAAGCAATCGGCTATTTAGCCGATACAGGCATATCAAACAGTTAAGGTCACGCCTAATCAAGAACAGATCTACTAACTATCATCCTCCAATCTGCATTGCTATCAGTGGGGATCGACCAGATCGTTACAGCCATAATAATGAACCGTAGACCAGATTTAACTAACCAACAAACCTCTCCAAGATCATACGTGCCTTAATTGCGTGCTATGCACGGCCAAGATCAAAATAGAACAGCCGATAAGACATAACCCGTCGTTCATTGTAAGAAGTATCGTGTTGTGACAAAGCAAACAACGGATCCAAAGAATATGAGGCCAATCTAAATCGATCTCGACCGGGTAGATTGATGTTGCTGCAAACTAATGACGATAAGAACATCAGTAAGATCGATAACTTAATGAATCCAACAAAGATTGTCACTCTTAGGTAGAGCCGATAACTTGACCTTAATCTAATTCGAGCAGTGGAGGTCGACCGGATCGATGCAGCCGTATTTGAACTAGACAAGAGTCGATAACTAGCTTATACCAGAGTCACAGTAGAAGTCGATCGGATCGATGTAGGCGTACGAACAGAAGTATAAGCCATGACGGTACTTACAGACAAGCCGGAGGTTGGCCGGACCGATGTAACCCTGCTCGCTGAAGAACTCGCCGAGATCTACTCTACTACAACTCCTAAGGAGTGGCCAGAGCCGAAAAAGTAAGTAACTTGTATTTGATTGATTGTGTGTCCTTTACAATAGCCGAGGTCCAGTATTTATACCCGGAGCCTGAACATGAATCCTACTCGAGTACGATTTATTACAATCTTTGGTATAAAAGAAAATATTACCATCTTAAAATAATTTGGATCCTAATCTTTCCTTTTTTTAGAGTTCGATATATAGTTTTCCGACGCCAGCCGTAGCTCATCATCATCATCTGCTGATGTCATTCAAAGAGAGCCGATTCCAGTGTCGCATCTGAATCAGCTGATATCGATCCTCAAGCAATTGATTCCTTGATTGACACAATCTTGGAAGCCTTCAAGTTCCCGCGTTCTTCTCCTAAATTTTTATGTAAACACATCCTGTATTCATTTCTCTTGAGTGTATGTAGTAATAATAATAGATGGCCACGTCGCCACAGGATGAGACGGAGCACTTTGTTATTTCGACCACCACACTAAACAAATCCAACGGTCAAATTAGATTGTACCTGTGCTCCCTCCATTGTCCGTTCAAAAAAAAACCTAAAATTTTGCACGCAACAAACTTTCTCGAGTTCATCAAGTTTTATAAAAAATAGAAGTAATATTTATATCTTCAAATAGTTTATTATAAAAATATATCCAATAATTAATCTAATAATACTTATTATATATCATAATAAATATTAATAATCTCTTGTGTATAGGAGTATCTTGTTAAAAATTTAAGAGTATTTATTTCTCGAACAATAAGAATGGTATCTTTTATGCGATGGAGTATACTAAATAATCATCGTTGTAACTGTCATGACAAGACTTTATATCGCTTAGAAAGGGTGAATAGACATTTCTGAAATTTAACAACAAATCAAAACTTTGGATTAGGAAATTGCGGAACTTTCGCGCGATTATTCAGAACTTCCGCTTCACCGAACTTCTGCACAATACATAGAAGCTCAAAAACAAGTACGCCTAGAGTTCCAACTCAAACCAAACTTTTAGATGTATTTAGTACATGCACGCACAAACACATACAAACCAAGCACATCGAGTGGAAAAGCAAATATTACAATTCAAAACATAAGAGACACAAGCGATTTGTTTCACCGAAGTTTAGGTTCCCACTTGAACTCCACTCTCCGTTGAGGTGGCGGTGAGCAACTCACAAAGCTCATGATCGTTCCGGGTCCCTCTCGATTGCTCTCTAACTCTTTAATCTCTTGAGATCAACATTAAGCGGTCATTGAAAATCTGTTTCTTTTGATCACATATATTGACATCTATGCATCAACACAAAATATGGTCAAGCCAGTTTACGATTCCGTGTATCCTCTACATTTTGGCTCGACACACTTTAATATCAACACACTTGACTTTCTTAAGCAAGCTTTCTATTTGAGACTAACCCATATGCAAACACTCATGTCTCATCCTACTTCTCACCTTTGCTTGTTATTTCTTCATAATGCCATTATTGTTGGTATTCATTCTTCATACTTCTAGTTTGATCAATATCCATCCACTACTGATCTCTTCTTATTCATGCAAAGGAAGCCAACTATGAAACCAAGCCATATTCATCAAAACCATATTCTTAATAAGTTTCGGACTTCTTTTTTTGAAACTTACCTCCCCGTTTATGCACATTCTTCATAGGTTAAATCTTTCGGAACTGGAGCCAGCCCAAAACTTAGCATGACCCGAGTGCCAATCTCACCCCAACCGTGCCAACTCATAATTTTCGGACGTTACCGTGAATCCGTAACTCCATGGCTCTTTCATCCGTGAAAGCAGGGTAACTTTGTCCAATGACGTCAGGTCCACGGAGGCCGGTAACTCCTGTTGCCCGCGCGGCCTACCTGCAGAATCTCATGCCGCCGTAAATACGGCCGGGCACAGCATTCGTATTGCGTCCCCCATAGGTTTGGCCACCACTAGTTACTTTTACCATTCTTCCCGCAAGCGTTTCATATTGCCCTGGAGTTACACCATCTCCTGTTCCCTTGCCTACTCTTTCTTTTTAGGGGTGTTTGGAATTGCTCCACAAACTCCATCGTAGAATAGCTTCACAAAAAAACTAAAGTTTGTAGCTTTACAAAAAAAAACTAAAGTTTGTGGAGTGCTCTCGTAACTTTACCTTTTTCTCGAATAGAGTGAGTGGAGCTGAAACTATTTGACTAAAAAACATGAAGCGGAGCTGAAAAACGTAGAGCGAAGCAGTCTTGAACACTGTCTTAATATAAGGCTCCTGTTCCTCGATCGTTTCTGCACGTATACAGAACTTCGGACTTCTGAAAAATGTATTTGTACGCTTAAACGCGTATCGCTACGTATTCTGCCGAAAGCAATGCCGCCTCTTGTTACTCCTATTTACCCGAATTTATTGGCAAACATATACTGTACATACGTGTGAGTCACGTAGTGAATACTCCTACCTGTACACGACAGGAAGTACACACACACTCGGATATAAAGGCAGCCAGCCTGCATGTAGCGGTACCCCGTATTTATGATCTGAGAGGCTTCGTATTTGCGCCTTGGATATTCAGTAACATCTAGGCCCTGTTCACTTTACAAAAAAAGTGAACCCGTTAAATAGTATCACTTTCGTCTTATTTGATAAATATTATCTAATCGTGGACCAACTAGGCTCAAAAGATTCATCTCGTGATTTCCAACTAAACTGTGTAATTAGTTATTTTTTTACCTACATTTAATACTCCATGCAAGCGGCTAAAAATTGATGTGATGGAGAGAGAATAAAAAAACTTAGAATTTGGATGGCATCTAAACAAGGCGCTACACTTATTTGGTAGGTGAGACGCCAAATGACGCTTATAAAAATGAAGTGTTTCTGTGTAACATGTGCTGCAGCTGACAGGGCAGGATGATGAACGGCTAGCTCAGCTTTGAGGGCTGGGATTTTCTGTTTAAAACAAAATGATAGTGTGATCCTCTTAACTTTAAAACTGGTATAAGCTAAAATAAGGAAGCGAATAAACGAATCAAGGAAAAGAGGGCAGGAGGAGAAGGAAAGAAATTAAAAATGGTTGGGTGTGAGGAGGAAGGAGAGGAGTAGTGGGGCAGCATGACTGATTTCTGACCTTTTAAAAGCCCACCACCCTACATGAGACCCTTTTTTTTTTAGGGTTTTTGAATTTGTGAGACCTTTTTTTTATACTACTGGTCCTGCGATGGGCGTTGAGGAGGATGAGAGGTGTCGCTGGACGGGCATCTTGGCCAGCTAGGCTGGCGAGGGATCGAAGCTTTCTCTGAAAGGGAAAGCAGCGAGGAGAGAGGAAGTGGGGTGCAGTGCAGTCAAAGCTGGCATGGCATTTCTCTCTCTCTCTCTCTCTCTGACTCTGAATTGTGTATTCCCATTTCTTTCCCACTCGATTCAAACCCCAGAAAAGCTTACTGGCCCCGTATATATAACCTCCTCTCTCTTCTCGCCTTCGATTGCCCTTCCGGCCTTCCTACCTCCTCCCCCTCCTCCCTCTCCGTGTCCTCCCCTCGCTTTGGGCTCGATTCAGGCTACGCGTGGGTTGCGCCGATTGATGCGGGGAGGCAATGGCGGTGTCCTCGCCTTCTTCTGCTCCGGAGAAGAAGAGGAAGTGGCTGCTCAGCAACAGGAAGGTCAGTGCCGGTTCCCGTCCTCCCCTGCTGACTCCATACTTGAGTTGGGTTCCCTTTCTCTTCCACCTGAATGTTTCTTGGTGTTCAAGAACTGCACGAATGCCAAGTTTGTGCCTTTTGACTTCTGGATGGAGAGGGCTTGACGTCCAAATGCCAGGAGGGCGAAGAACCGTTTGGATCTCTGAAGCTCGCTGTGCGTGCCTTTTGTTTGTTTCGCTCAACAGCAGCTTGGTTCCAGCGCATTCTGTCCGGCCGGTGGCTTGTCCTGTTTTGGTTTCGTTTGTTTTGTTTGTCCCCCCAAAAAGAATGATCTCATCTCAGAGTGGTCAATCGATCCTGCTCTGTTAAGACGGAAGAATACTGTTTTTGCTGCGGGAAATCTGATGTTTCCGTTCCGTTTTGGTCAGGTGATCGACAAGTACCTGCGGGAGGCGAGGAAGATTCTTGCGGCGGCGCCGGAGGGCGGCGGCGGGGACGCGGTGGCGGCGCTCGGCCTGGTGGACGCGGCGCTGGAGCTGTCGCCGCGGATGGAGGCCTCCCTGGAGCTGCGGGCGCGCGCGCTCCTCGCGCTGCGACGCTACAGGGAGGTTGCGGAGATGCTCCGCGATTACATCCCCAGCTGCGGCAAGTCGTGCTCTGGCGAGGACACCTCGTCGTCCTCCTCGGCGTCCCTCCTGTCCACCGGCTCCGGTGACCTCGGCACGATTTCCTGTGCCAAGCTCCTCTCGCCCGACCGCCACCGCTCCGACGACGCGGAGCCTGACGCTCGGCCTGTCCGCTCCTTCCGCTGCTTCGACATCTCCGAGCTCAAACGCCGCGTCCTTGCCGGCCTCTCCAAGAACCCAAACACGGACACCCAGTGGAGGTACGAAATCTGCGGCATTGCACGAACTGTTGGTGTCTTGACTTCGCGAATCCGACCGATTTCCTGATGGTTGATGCCCATGTACAGGTACTTGGTCCTCGGCCAAGCTTGCTTCCATCTTGGCCTCATTGAGGACGCTATGGTGCTGCTCCAGACCGGCCGCCGCCTCGCTTCGGCGGCGTTCCGCCGCGAGAGCGTGTGCTGGTCGGACGACAGCTTCTCGTCGTCCGCCGCCGCGGCCGCTGCTCCCTCCGTCCCGTCCGGCAAAACATCCAAGTCCGGCTCGGCGTTCATAATCCCGGCGATGGAGTCGGAGGCCGTGTCCCAGCTCCTGGCGCACGTGAAGCTCCTGCTCCGGCGCCGCGCGGCTGCCATGGCCGCGCTGGACGCCGGCCTCCCTGCCGAGGCCGTGCGCCATTTCACCAAGATCCTCGAGGCACGCCGTGGCGTGCTGCCGCACCCGTTTGCCGCCGCCTGCCTCGTCGGCCGCGCCGCCGCGTTCCAGGCCGGTGGCCGTCCGGCCGACGCCATCGCGGACTGTAACCGCGCGCTCGCCCTGGACCCTGCCTACATCCCGGCGCTCCGTGCCCGCGCCGACCTCCTCCAGTCCGTGGGCGCGCTCGCCGACTGCCTCCGTGACCTTGACCACCTCAAGCTCCTGTACGATGCCGCGCTCCGCGACGGCAAGCTCCCGGGGCCCCGGTGGCGGCCGCAGGGCGGCGTGCGGTACCGCGAGATCGCCGGCGCGCACCGCAAACTGACGGCCCGCATCCAGGGGCTGCGCAGCCGCGTTGCCGCCGGCGAGGCGTGCAACATCGACTACTACCTGCTGCTGGGCGTGCGGCGCGGGTGCACGCGCTCTGAGCTGGAGCGCGCGCACCTGCTGCTCTCCCTGAAGCTCAAGCCTGACCGCGCCGTGGTGTTCGGGGAACGACTTGAGCTCGTGGACGAGCACCGCGACCTCGAGGCGGTGCGTGACCAGGCGCGCATGTCCGCGCTGCTGCTGTACCGGATGCTGCAGAAGGGGTACTCGTTCGTCATGTCAGCCGTCCTGGACGAGGAGGCCGCTGAGAGGCAGAGGGCAAAGGACGCCGCCGCGGCCGCAGATGCAGCCGCGGCCGCCGCGCTGGCGGCCAAGCAGGAAGCCGCGAAGGAGGAAACACCACAGCAGCCGGTGCCTGGGAAATCCAACAACACGGAGAGCGGCCGTCCGAGAAGCCCACCGGGCCGCGCGCAGACGGCGAAACCAAAACCCAAGGCCAAGGCCGCGACCACGGCGACAATGCCTAAGGCGCCGGCGGCCGTGACGTCCACAGCCCCTGTTTACCAGGGGGTGTTCTGCCGCGACATGGCGGTGGTGGGAACCCTGCTGTCCCGCGGCGGCGGGTTCGACCGCGCGCTCCCGGTGAAGTGCGAGGCCATGAGCTGCTGACGGAAGCCATCGTGTCTCTCCCGGTCCTACACAACACATGACATGTGCGACGTGCCGACGTGGCGTGCACCGAGACGGAGACAGGTGCAACGTGAGATCCAGGGAGCTGGCGGGAAAGCGGCGATGGGTTTGAATTGTTTGGTCGTCCAACTCGCTGTTGTACAGTTTGGGGGAAGTGGGATTGGTTTTGGGTGGGAGTGGGACTGACGGCAAATGGCGCGAGAGGAAAAATGTTGGGATGCAGGTGAGGGGAGCTAGTGGACGGTAATTTTGGCTGCATCTTGATGAATGAGTTGTTACATTATTACAGTGCTTTCAGTTGTACCTCGCCGTCGTTGCCTCGTGCTGCAGGTTTCACGCTGAAACCTGATCCGGCTGCTGTGTACTGTACAGTCTTTCACTTGTTGATTGTTTTTTCCGCAATGCAAGATCAGAATCTGCACTCCGCCCCATGAACATGCTGACCTCTCAATAGCCTCTACTGCCGTGCGGGGACGGAGGGCGCTCTTAAAGCTGCATGTAAATTATGCACAGTGACCGATCGCTTGGGCACTCTGCCCCGGTACTCACCCTGCAATTTCTGCCACTTTTTGTGGCCTTGGTGGCTGTGTGCTGTGGATAAGTATATAGGGAGAGGGGGCGCACGACCACGACGCGATTCGATCACGCGAACTCGGTCCTCGGCGGCTCGGCGCCTGTCGCTGCGAACGCTACCCGCTTTTGCAAGCAAGCGAAAGCAATTTCGGTTTTCACCGCGCCACTGCGCCAGCGTGAGCTCCTGGACGGCTGGACCATTGCTGTGTCCCTGGCACCGGAGTTACAGCGCGTGTGCAAGCTTTTCACTCCACTTTTCACTGGTCCGTGTCATCACTGAAAGCGAAGGGTGATGGCCCTGCGGGCGCAAGAATTCACTCCCGTCGCCGCAGCGCCGCTGCCGCTGGCGTCACGGAAATATCTAGTCTACTCTCCTCTACGGACTACGTTCTCGTGATCGGATCCGCGCCATGGAAATATGTGCCCCGTCCATCGCTGGCCAAGACTCCAAAGTCCAAACTACTCTTTCCGCAACATGAAAATTACATATTAACCTCTATCAGAAATTATTTCAACATGCAATGATTACATTTTTAGAAACAGAGAAATTAAAAAAGAGAGAGGTGTACCATATACCTAAAAGTGGACTGATTCTAGGACATTTTTCAAATGTTATTAGAAGTGCACTTATTTTGGGTCCGATGGAGTAAATAGGAGTATTAAGGCCTTGTTTCTAGAACTAAAGTTTATGTGGTTAAGTCTAGTCTAACATGGACTAAATAAATTTTCTAAAAATAAAGACTCGTATGCACCTTTTTAAGTCTAGTGATAATGAATTAATTGCTGGTGGTTTAGTTAAAAAATAAAAATTAATTTACTTTTATTCCACCTATTCGGATATATGGAGTATAGCACTAAAGTTTATAGGTAAAAATAAAATTTAGTGCATGGGATTCAAATACTCTTACTCCCTCTGTCTTTAAATATCTGACGTTTTCGCTTCCTGAGAAATAACTTTGACTAAATATATATTAAAAATATTAATATTTATGGTACGTAATTAGTATCATTGAAAAGATCTTTGAATCTAGTTTTTTAATCAATTTTATTTTGAGACACAAATATTACAGGTACTTTATACAAACAAGTCAAACTTGCTACCAGCATACTGATGGCGACAGTTATTTCGAGACCGGGGAGTAGGTCCTATCCTAAACTAAACTAACGAGCTGACATGATGCGTGCACTGGAGCAGTGTTAACCTGTGATTGCATCAGGATTACGCGAGACGCCATCGTGGCTCGGTGGCCGGTAGCGCCTGCGCCGTATCCGCTAGGCGATTCGTTGTCGCAGGAAGGCTGTTGCCGATTCGACGGGAAGGGTGCCGTCGCCCGTCGTTCTGGTGGTAATGGTGACGCACGGCACGGGGTTCGTGAACCCGGGCACCCATTGTTTAGCCCTTCTTTAGTTGCCCTAAAAGTTTACACTCTACTTTATCGAATGTTTGACAACATGCATGGAGTATTAAATATAAACTAAAAAAATAATTAATTACACAGATTATGACTACTTTACGAGACGAATTTTTTAAGCCTAATTAGTCTATGATTTGACAACATGGTGCTACAATAACACATGTACTCCGTACTAATGATGAGTTAATTAGGCTTAATAAATTCGTCTCTCCATTTACTAATGGAATCTGTAATTTTTTTTAATAACATCCGAACACCACAAACGACGTCCCGTGTAACACCCGCTCTGATTGCCATCTGAGGTGGAGGTGATAAGACTGACCGAACTGACGGTTGCAAGCGTGACGAACCCAAACCAAACCTAACCATGTGCGGGCCACGTGAGCTGACCCACGAGCGAGCAAGCGAGGCAGCGAGCGTCACCTCGCTCGCTTCGGGAGCAGCGTTTTGAATGATTAGGAGGAGCAGGGACGTGACGTGCCCTATGCTACGCCTGGCCCCTGGCTGGCGCTGCTCGCTCGGCCGTGACAAGATCTCAAGATGCATGGATTGAGTGATATGATGGACGCATGATGATTGCGTGATAATGGCATAAACAACCAAGGGCAAATTAGCTGTCAGTCCGCGATCGGTTGACACGAGGGAACACTGGTTTGACCGCGGCGCGCAGCGCAGAGACAGAGCAGCAAAATTTGGAAAAAATATAAACCGTTGGACCGGTCAAGAAATAGTACTGGTCCTGATCGCTTGAAAAAATTTGAAGAAATCTAAAGAAAATTGTGAGAGAGTGAACAATATTTTTTATCCATGCACAGCAAAATCCGACTGGTTTTTCGCACAGCCGAACGAGCCCACTAGCCCTAACATTTCGTTTGGAATACATAAATAATAAAAGGCGCGTTACGGATTTTGTTTGGTTCGACAATGCCATGGCAAGGGCATATATACCCAGACTCCCGCCAGTTGGGCACGCACATCGGCACATGACATGAGCCGGCCGAGGGCCAGCACCCAGCAGGCGCGTATGGTGCGGCACTGTGCCAAGTGCAGGGGGTGGGCTCCACGCCGTCGCGCCCAACCGGCAACGGACCGAGAAGATGCAATGCAACGGGGCAACGGCTTGATCATCTACAGCAGGAGTAGTACTACTATCTCCGTTTGTGGAACCAAGTTCTGGCCAGGTCATCTCATCGGAGATCAGACACGGCCGTCAATGGGCAAGTTATGTCTAATACTATACTACAGCGTGCCAGCCGCTAGCTAGCTAGCCCTTGATCATCACGAACTCACAGAGTCACGTCTACAGCGGTGGTAGATCGCCGCCGGAGCCTTCCATCGATCTGCTTCACCGGCCGCGCCCGGATGATTATCATTTTGGTTCTCTCCTGTCGACTCGAGCAGCATTTGGTTAGGAAGGAAACTGTGGCAGCAAAGCGAGTTGCGGCTCACATGCATGTTGGCCGGGGCCATGTTTAGTTCCCCAAATTTCCTGAATTTGGTACTATGCAAAAAGAAGATTCTTCGTCACATCAAACTTGCGGTACATGCATGTAGTACTAAATGTTGACGAAATCAAAAACTAATTATACAGTTTGGTTGTACTTTACGAGACGAACGTTTTGAGCCTAATTAGTCAACGATTGGACAATTATTACCAAATAAAAACAAAACGCTACAGTGTAGCTACAGTGCTCTGGTATCCGGCGGCGCCGAATCCGGCTGCAACTAAACATGGCCCGGGTTTCTGGCTGCTGGCAGGGCAGGCACCCCTGCCATGCACGACACACCGTGACAGATCCGCTGCCGGATCACGGGCCGGACACTCCTCCTTCCCTCCCCAGTGACTCCGCCCTCTCACGATTTTTACATGGCCTTGCCGGGTGCCGGTGAACACGGTCGATTGGGCAGCGGCGGATGCACCGAAATCTCGAGCTGCGGTACGTTCGTAGAGGCGTTATTCTCAATCGGGCAGAGGCGGCGTTCGTTGGGACGAACCGTCACGCCGTGGAGCGGACGAATCTATATATAGGAATCATGCTCTCAAAAGCGGGCTAACGGATAGGGCCACGTCACCCATTAGCCCATTGGCCGTCCGATCCGGCGAAGAAGCGATACTATCCGTTCGATTGCGGATCGGTTCGGGCGTCGACCCGGGGAGCCGCGCGAACCCGCTCGATCTGGCGTCCGTGTTCGAGTACCGCCGCCTCTCGCCATCGCTCTGGCGGCCGGCGCACCCGTAGGCGGGCCTCCCGTCGCCCTACGGCCAGATGCCCGCGCCCAGTGCCGGCGGGGCCAACCACGTGCGCTCGCTCTTCCAGCAGCTCTTGGAGCCGACCGCGCCCGCGCTGGGGAGCAGCCGCCCCGATGGCCAAGGGCGTCTCGCACTGCCATGGCCAGGGGCCTATGCCACCGCGCCGCCACACCGGGGGTGGGTCTGCCCCACCATGGTCGGGGCCTGTGCCACCTCGCCCCACTACTACCCGCCAGGGCTGTCTTGCCTTTGTGCCATGGTCTCCACGCCGCCGCCGTGAGAGAGAGGGAGCGTGGCCCACCATTGAAATGGCACGAGCGAGCTGACCACTACCGTGGCCTCGGTCCACCGAACGACGTGTCGCGCGCCGCCGTGGCCGGGGCAACTGGTGCGAGCCGCGTGCCTCTTCCGCGAGCATTGCTGGGGGCCATCTCAGCGCACGTCAGTGGCTCTCCGTTGTCGCCATCTACGCTTGCTGCAGCCGCTGGTGGAACGTCCCTAGGGTGTTCGATCAAATGTCTGTTCGGAACTCGCTCACACAATGCCCCCAGGTGCTACTGCCTAGGTGTGCCTTCGTTCCTTCCTCGTTTGCTTGTCTACTAACTTGCTTCTGAAACAACAGAGGTTGAAGTGTTATGAACATCTTCGTGTTTGCAGATCTTGCATGGGATTGAGCAGGATAGAGTTGGCCTTGCTAGAAGCCTACTTTCTTTAAAGAAAAGAGCTTGTGGAAGATTCAA